TCACGCTCTCTAGCTCTGGCTGTGGCCCCAGTGAGCTGTCCCCGGTTGGCAGGCGCACAGTTTTTAAAGTCTTCCGCAGACGCATAGAATGCTCAGACTCAGTTCACCGAGCGAACATCACTTTGCATTTGAGCTGCCGACAGAGCTGTACAAGAGGTTCAGGGTTAAAAGTCATGGTGATGTCTTAGCCGCATAAAGTTACCAGTAAGCCCCCAAGATGGGCCTTGTGCCAAAACTACTCTGGGAATAAATGTGAGTCCTCAAGGTCTTGGACCCTTTTTCGGCTGTCCCCACAAACTTGCGGGGGAGGTGGGGCAGGGGGCTTACAGCCGAACCCAATTACTTTGGAGACATGCCCTTGAGGTGCTTTTTTTTTGGTAACTAGCTCGCAAGCCTTCATGCAAGGCGTTTTCAAGGAAAGGCCGTTGATATGAGGCATGGCGATTTGCAAGCACTAGCTTTTTAACATGTCTTTGCAACACCGTCCATCATAAGAAACACGTGAGTAGGGGGAGCTTAATTTTGCGACATGCAGGCTCTCAACCCTGATTCCTCAATCCATCTCATTCCCACGGATAAAGATCCAACAAAAAATGTGCGTGTCAGATCAAGATATGTTCTCCCAAATGCAAGACCCACTGTCTGCAGCTGACAAGTCAACGGCCTATCATAGGATCGCAAGGAGCCGCCAGGGCCCATTTCAGGGCTTGCAAGGAAACGTCCAGACTTGCTATGGCTTCATGCAAGCAGGAAGTACGCCAAGTCTTTTTCTGTTCAGGTTTTGGCAACACATGTTTCACCCATGCATATCATCTCCACAGGCTTCTGTAGACAGCCTGCGATGCCGACGACATGCGTACGAAGACTATGTCAAAGTCATCAAAAACCATGCAACGCAGCCCTTACGTGGTAGTGGTAGCCCTGTAACATCTGCCCCTAATGAGTCAAAGTGTCATCAGCAAGAGGTCCGGGGTCCGGTCTCGGCCGTGCACCCCTTGCGAGCCTCGTGATTTGAACGCGCTGGATTTCAGCCCAGTGCTGCTCTGACATTCGCCAGAGACTAGGCTTGACTCCAGCAGCACAGCACAATCTAAAACTCTATGATTCTCGGGTGTTTTCTAGAGGCCATTGTTGCTGCTAAGAACTTCGCACTAGCAAAGCCAACTTTGATAAGTGCTAGTCAAACAGTCGCAGAAGATCCCACCGCAGCACTAATGTAATGAGTGGCAGAGGCAGTCATAATCGTTCTAGAGCTAACTGCAATGTAGATGTAGCGATGCGCAAAATAGCAGGCGTGACAGGTGCATGTCACTCTGCAGAATGGTCCACGAGCACGGCCGAGTGCCTGGGCAAGCAGCTTCGGCATCAAGCTGGCCAGCTATTTGAGAGGTTAGGGGTTAGGGATTCGGAATCGGGTGAGGCTAGGGTTAGGGCCAACGAAGTTGTAAGAGCTGGCTGGTTTTTAAATGCGGTGGGTTTCACACGTGAGGGAGTTTCCCATTAAGAGTCTAAGGAGCGGGAGGCCTTGAATTGAGCCGCAATTTTTCCGATGCCCAGCCTACTACCACCTCGCACGCCACATGCTGCTAAGATGAGCATGTCTCTGAAGTGTAGGACCATGAAGGGTACCCCCCATAATATGCTACAGTACTATAGTAGACAATAACAGGTTACAATCTACCATAGTATACCATATATATACATGTACATTATAATGTGCTACAGTCTTTTTCGAAAAGCCCGGTGGTCTCCAATCTAGTCCCAATCCTCAACCCCAGCCGAAGCCGTCAGGTGCAACCCTAAAGTACCCTGAGTCATCCCGTTGGTTCCAAAGCACCTGCAGACAACTAGGACAAATAGGTGTTATATAGGGATAATGGAAAAGAACATGGAAACTACTACAATGGGGTTAGATAGGGTTGGTCCTACCTAAGACTTGAGGTGGACCCCTGTAACGTCCTAATGTAGCCCCTATATATTCATCCCTAGGGTGCCTTATACCCCCCCTTTTTTCGCGAACCCCTCCTTGTCTTGTTTCTGAACCTAAGCCCCTAAACTTATCCTAAACCCAGAAACCCTAAGCCCCAAACCCTTAACCCTACAAAGCCTAAACAGTTGAAATCCTAGAGCCTCAACCCTAAACCCCAAACCCTAAACCCTAAACCCCAAACCCTAAACCCTAACCCCAACCTGATTTTGTCTCTTAGCAGAGGACCACCGGCTGGGCTGCTCCGATGCCAAATCCAGCGGTGTTGAGCCCTTCACAAGGAAGGTCCAGGGATCAGTATCTTTATATATATATATATGTATGTATATATTTTTTGTGGGAGGGGGGGGGGGGTACCATATATTTATATGTTATACCCATAAATAAACCATATACAAGCGAAGTATATAGGATTGGAAAGGAAAAGTTCAGACTTGAAGGATCTTAGTTCAAGCCCGCATAATGACGGTCATTCAAGTTGCAGTCGCAACCTAGAGAAGTGTAGACACCCTCAGAGTCATAGAAGCAGCAGGAGAAGGAGCAGGAGGAGTCGTGGCAGGAGCAGCAACAGCAGCGGGCGTTTCCATGTGAATGAAGGCAATAGCTGTACCAACAATACGCACATGAGTGGTACATAGTCCAAGCAGAAGCAGCAAACAGCAGTGGCAGTCCCAAGCAAAAGTCCCAACCCTCGGGGCCTCGTCGGACTGCACAGAATGGACAGACTCCTAGGTGCTGCATGACCCTTACCAACATCTACTTGATAAGTGCACGCAAACCTGGTGGCAAAGCCAAGGAAAATGGCTAGCAATCGCTTCAAGAATATGTGGGCATGCGTACAACTTTCATCATCTTTCTCATGTGACCCTACGACGGCGTAATCATTTTCAAGCGCGGAAGGTTGCGAATGTTCGGCACGCCGAACTTGAGCACATGTAGGGTATTCGATGCTATGTAAGCAGACATGGTCATGTGAGCATACCAACTAGTACCAAAGAGTACTAAAAACAGGCAAGAACTATTTCTACAGTGAAGTCACACTAGGACGCAGTACGATGGGAGCCGGATGCCTTGGGTGCAAATGTTCAGGCTTGGTTGGCACTATTCGGCCCTTCGACTTTCCGTGCGTAGGGATGAGGAAGAATACCTGCAACACTACTATAAGGCTGGACATAGGTTTCCCCCGTGCAACGTCTTCCATGCACATGCGCTGGAGTAACCCCCCTTCCCCTTAAGTCACGGGCAGAAGGCGCAAGCGAAGAAAGCTGTCGGATGTGTTCCAGCTTTTGCTTCAGTTGACCACTGATCTGCTGAACGCGGTTGAGCTGACCTGCCCATGACTGCCAAGAGAGCCATCTTAAGTACAAATGGTGCTAAGGACCCTGGTATACTGTAGCCTTGAAATACATCGTCCTTGGTAACTCGGCCAGTTCTTAAACTTGTTGTGCTGTGCTTCGGGTTTAGCTCGCGGGCCCTGGAAATTGCAGGGATTCTGGGCGTATCCCGGCCGGGGGCTATGAGGGTCTGCCGAAAGGATTGTAAAGGGGTCAAGCCTAAGACACCCCAGTCTCATGTGGGTACTTTCCAAAATGAGGGTCCCATTTTGGTATCCCCAAAACTTAGGTGCCGTAATTTAATCATTAATCCACAGGAGGGACTACCCATGTCCTAGAACTGCCCAAGGCTGCCTAAGGTTCCGTAAGGTTCCCTTCCCTGGTACCAACGCTCTTTGGACTGACCTGCCTTTCTGTTTCTTTGCATTCACCCGTATGTTGCACTGTTACTCTGAGGGGCACGGTTAGCTTCTGCCTAGTCCCAACGGCCCGCTTGATCCCACATCCCAGGCCCCTGCAACTGGGTTGCTGTTACCACAATGGGTATATATAGTGATTAATATGATTTCCCCGACAGAGTAACTTAAATGAAGTTTTTTACCAGCAACCCAGGCAAAGGAATTCAAACCCCTAAGAACCCACTCAGGCTCCTCTACCGCCACAGCCAAACAGCCTATATGTGAAACTGTGGTTTAGGCAACCATGAACCAGAACCTCCCACACTTGTAAATCTTGAGCCCCTGGGCCGTGAACACACAACCGTGAGCAATTTTGATCGACGGAGGCGCGATCTTCGCTCACTTGCCGGAGCGGCAGCTTTGCGCTCCGGGCGACTGGCCTGCGGCGCCACAGTCATGGCTGAATTCAAAATCCTGCATGACCCAGGGCTTCCTACCATAATTCCTCTAGAGTTTTGGCATCTGAGGATCTAAGCAGGATTTTAACCATCAATATTGTGTTCATACTTACTGAGTTCGTCTGGCTGATAACGCTAATAGCCGCCAGCACGGCAAGTAAATATAAGGAAGCAAACTACGGCCGGTGCCCTTGGGTGTTATGGCGCTGAAGTCAGAATTCAGCGATGGATCGGTGGATCATGGTTGCCCTGATTTTTGCGTTGCTTCGTAGGCCGCCGTGCAACCCAAGACGTGCTGTTAGCTAGACCCCTCCTTTGTGATGAATATGAACACGCGATGACATAAAGCTAGCCCATCAAAGTCCTCTTACGCTTTCCCGTCCAGTAGTGGTTTCTTGCAATCTCTCTTCACTTGGCTTGGGTTTCGGATTGTCTTGATAAGCTTATTCTTTAATTCAATCCTTCGGGACTCCCGGAGAAACTGTGCGCAGATTGCAACTCCTCTAGGTGAGAATGTGGTAATACTAAGGTAAACAGTAGGCATCCAATTACAATGGACCGTCTCACTAGGGAAGCAGGCTTTCATAAAGTATGAGATTTCCACTCAAGCCTCTGTGAAAAAATGGGTGCTGGCGAACATTACCTCCAACCAACATTTACAGCATCCATGTTGACCACGTGGCAGCTGACACGTCCGCTTGAAAGCGTCAATGACCATACCTGCAGGAGCTCTAGTGTCACAACCTTTACAGAAGCAAGTCGTCCCTTTTGGCCAGGTAACGCGATAGGTCGATGTAAAATATCTACAAAGGCGTCCAACGCCTCAAACATATCCCACCTTCTTTACAGGACTCGCTGCCCCGGAAGAGACTCTGAGCAAGTATTCCCAGAGTTGAAGCGGGACCAAAAGCTTGTCACGGATGGCTTTCTGCACCATCTTTGCCACTGCTCCCTTTTGAGAGAACTCGTTTGCGGCATCTGCGGGCTCTGACAACCGCTTCATCACATTTTCCCATTCATAATCACGCAGGCAGACCAGGCGAACAAAATGCACCCAGCCCTTCCGCAACTCATTCTCTGAATCACCCTTGAGGCCCAATTGCGCAAAGGTCAAGCCGCTGCACTCACGGGTGATGCTATCACACAAGCGCATGAGCTCCTCCACGTAGTCATCACAGTTCCTTAAATGAGCCATAGTCTAAGCTCCTAGTATCCCCCTTAAGATCCCCTATAGTAGTAACCCCCTATGAGGAGTTTAGACCCTTAAACCTTAAACCCTATATAATACCCATAATCCCCTATATAACCCCCTTATTCCAGGAGTTTGGACTATGGCTTGCATGGTCAGCTTTCTTTGGGCATCTAGGGTTCGGCCTGTGGGCTTCCTAAGGACCATCAGAAGAAACTTATCTGGGTTGCTGCTGCGGAACTTAAATTAAGTTACCATAATGACTATATATAATAAAAAAATACATTTTCCCCAGTATAGTAACTTAAATTAGGTTCCCTAAAAGCAACCCAGTATTAGTCTCTCAAGGTTCTTGTCGTCCACCGAATCACATCTATCCAGCGTCTGGCAGAACAGTTGTTGCGTCGCTTCGCAGAGCCTCTCGTAGTCTGCGCCGCGACAGAGGTCTCTGAAAACTGGCTCCTCAGCAAATTGTTGGGGATGCATTATAAACTCGAAACTTCATGGTTCAATGATCATTGCGCAGGGCTCTGGTACATCCTTAGATTAAACATGCCCATGCCATACCAAAAGCGCGCTTTGGATTATCTCAGGCTCCAATAAGCTGAAGGTGTAGTCAGAGTCGTAGCTGAAGATGGGCTGCCTCTTGAAACTCTGAGTGCCCCTTTCCCAGCTTCTCAGCTTTTCCTCGAGGGCACTGGGAGTGAACACCATGGACTTGACCTAGACTCCTTCGCAGCCAAAGCTGCGGCAAAGACATGCAGAATGAAGGGTCAAACAAAACAAGTGGATGTAGACTGCCCAAAATGGACCAGAAGCTTGACAACCTATGACTTACGAATCAGCTTTTCTTGAGGGTTTAAGGCCTAGGACTCAGCTTCCAGTTTTGTATACTCAGGGTATAGGGTTGAAGTGTAGGGTTGGTCCTGCCTCACCACGCCTCATTGCAAAATGGCCTCCAGAAAAATACCCTAGAGGTAAATTGAAGATCAAAGGGGCCCCTACAAAGACTACTGTCCTTGTGAGTAGCTAAGGCTGAAAGTGCACCACCTTTGTATGGTTTCTAGGAAAGATGTAACTCTTTGAGCCTGCTCTCTACACACCTCCTGCGGGCTTTCGTTCCAGCTTCTTCTCAAGCCCTTACTCTAAACCTCCTATAACTTCAACGAAGTATCCCTGATGCGTTCAGCCTCCCCATATATGTCCATACCTAGGTCCTGGGGGGAAGGCAGCTAGTCAACATCCTCTTTATGCTTCCTATACAACAACCTTGATTGAACTGTCTTCAACTTAGCTATTAAGGACCCTACAGCCCATATTCTAGGGAACTGGAAGGGTCTAGGTAGACAGTTCGGTCCATTCCACGTCCCGGCCTTGCCACTCGGCTGCACAGGTACCAATCCTAAATGCCTCAGCAAGAAGGGCTCTCCAAAACTTCGAGGCCCCACTTTGGGAGACCTTGGAAGAGGAATAATAATAATAATAGTAATAATAATAACAGAAATAATAATAATAGTAATAATAATAGTAATAATAATAGTAATAATAATAATGGTAATAATAGAAATAATAATCATAGTAATAATAATAGTAATAATGATAGTAATAATAATAGAAATAATAATAACAATAATAATAATAATACAAATAGTAATAATAATTATAGTAATAATAATAATAGTAATAATAATAATACAAATAGTAATAATAATAATACTAGTAATAATAATAGTAATAATAATAGTAATAATACTAATAATAGCAATAATAATAACAATAATAATAATAATATGTGGGGGTGTACTTTGGGCCTCCCCACTTATGGAAACCCCCTAATCAACTCGACGCTTGACGAATATGGGTCGTTGCCCCACATCCCGCAACTTCTGTTGAGTTGCATTTGACAAACAAGCTCAGCACATGAACAAGCCAGGGCTAGTCACAAAGCCGGCAATTCAAAGAAAGACAAATGCACGTCACAGGGCAGCTACTCTCGCAGCGCTGGAGCTCCAGTAAAGAACACTAGGTTCTCAGTGCCCTGAACTTGGACTGTCAACTTGGTGTAGCAAAACCATCTTGCAGTCGCTGTCGAATCATATCAACAACACGCTGTTCGCAAGTCTTCGGAGAACATCATGTGGGCCATGACACCTGTAGAAATGGTACTACGGTAATTTTTTTAGCGTACCTCAATGTGCATTTAGGTACCTTGCGAAGCAACTGGATTAAAGGGCCTAGGCACATCCAGTGCTCAGTCCCTGGGAGCCCCCGCGTTGCCGCAAAGCGCTCTGCGGCTGCACAGATGTCCCAGTGTGTAGAATCACTCCTGTGCTGTTCTGTTCTAGGGGGGTAATATTGGGGTTATATAGAGGTTATATTGGGGTTATATAGGGATTATATTGGGGCTACATTGGGGTTATACTGATATAGGACTGATACTGATACATGCTACTTGCTAACAAAAATACACTCACAACACAAGGCCTGGCAACTCGGGTGCTACAGAAGCCAGCGGCGGCGAAGATGATAAATGATAGTGTTACATGCAACAGGAAGAGTAGTAAGGATGATTCAGGGTAATTTTTGGAATAAAACTCCCAATCGAATTCCATCTTGGTATTATTCCCTTTATGAACCGCCATTTAGGGTGATGTCGGGTGAGGTCGCTTTAGACTGCCCAGAATTGGAACGTTATTAGTTCATGTTCTTCGCAGCAGCCCGTGGGGCACAGCCTAAGCTTTGGAGCAGGCTCGCGGAGTCAGCGTAGCAACCTCTTTCCCATCATCTTCCCATCCCCTGTAACCCAGACGGCCCAAGTACCCAATAATTAGGTACTTGGTTTTTGGGTAATAGTAATTATAATACAGGTTTTGGGTAATATTGGGTACATGGACCCTCAGGGTAAGGGCGTCTAGTCTTAAATTAAACAGTGAGGTTGTTGGAATTCAGGTACAGGCGCAAGGAGGATCTTCTGGATGAGCCTTCGGGACTTCTTTAAGACAGATGGAAGAAACAACATTTGGAGTGTACGTGGACCACGCTGGAAGATTTACAGGGTGGTGCGAAAGGTCCACATATATGTACGTATATAATGTATGAGTAGCGTTTTCGTGTGGTTGAACCCAGTAAGATTATGTTCCTCATATAAAATATTATACCCCAAAAGGATGATATAATCTTACTCTATAATGGGTACCATAGTATCCCCAAACTAAATACTACTCATATGAACTGCAGATAAGCTGATAACGCAATCCAATTCGATCTAGCGACATGAATGTCAGGAGGGCCCAAATCGGCATACCTCCAAAAGTGTGATTTCTTGTTCTGCATTTTTTTTCCCTAAGCCAACTCCAAACAAAACTTGAAGCTTGGCCTAGGCTCCACCCAAACAGAATAGAAATCCAGCCATTAGAAAGAACACCTTCCTCCACCCCCCCCAGGATGAATGCTGTTTGATTGTTAACCCTGAGAACCCCAGTCTGAACAATCCATCCCAAAACGGTCACTTCCCAAAGCGGGCGTCCTCTTCAACCCCGCGAGATAACAGAATCCTAACTACGAGGATCCGGGAACAACATGCGATCCATAGAACCAACCCAACCCAAAGACTTGACCATACTTCCCAAACCTCGAATATTATATTGCTGCCATCCAGTTCCGTGTGTTCAGAGTTGCCCCACGTTGCCCGGTCCTCAGCAGCAAGAGCACATGCTCCAGGCGCTGTTCATCACGCTGACCTGGCAGAAATCTCGTTGAACATGGGGGTTGCCCAAAACTGTAGGTCCCTTTTCCTTGCGGCTGTAAGGACATCTTGACACACATGCACCTGACCTGTGAGTCTGGGGCTTATGATTGCAGGGGAGCATCAGTGAAGAAGGTTCGTACAATGACTCCGAAATGGACACCAACAGGCCAGCAGGTGCCACAATTAACAGCTTTGTCCAGTCTGGCAAGCCTGGTATGCTCTCACTTTCATTCATCAGAGGCTTCTCCCTTGAGTCTTCACAGCAACTTCGTACGGCGATCTCCTGAATCTTCTGGGACTTTCTAGGACTGGTGCTATTGCCTATAAGGCATGGGCGACAACAATAATGCCAGCACCTAGCATAAGAGAAAATGAGAAAGCGCATCTATCTTGATGCCAAGGAGTATCTCTGCGATTCTTTAAACCTGCAACGTCTCAGGTCCGCACGGAAATGCAACCCTACCAAAATGCATGTTGCTGTCAAGGTTGAAGTGCCCAAATGGACTTTCGTAAAACTCCAACGCTGCTTTGGAAAATCTAGTCAGTGCGAACGTATAACTTCCAAATTCCAAAGCCGTGAGTCCGACTAAAAGCTTTGCCCTAGAGATAGGCACGCCCCGTATTTGAAAACTGTACGCCCTAAAATCCAGAGATTCCTGACACAATGCTACAGCCCCTTTCTTGGAAACCGAACATGCTTGTAGACACGAAGCACTAATTAATCCAGTCCTTTGTATCTAGATCCCAGATATGCCCATACTTAGGAAAGCTGTAACTGGTTCTGACTACGATCGAAGTTGGGCTCTCAGTACTGGGGTCTCCCTAGTCAACTTACATCCTCCAGGGACGGAACCATAAACCCTAGTCCAAGTCTGGGACTCTTCGGCTCAGCTAACATCCACTCCACTGCCTGCCATTGGAATCAAGGCCCACTATGGGCCCTTAAGCTTGAAGAATTATCTGCGGCTATTACATATACCCTATAGAATAGAGCCCTACAAAGCGATTTATGGGCCCATACTTTGGAGCCAGGTAGCAGGCAGGGGCCCACCTTAGAAACTCATGGTGTGGGAGTCTAGAGGTTGGGGATTTGTCCAGGGGTTGAGGGATTGGGGTTCAAGGCGTTTTGAAGTTTAAGGCCTTGAGTTTTAAGGCGCATAGAGTTTACAAGCCAGGGATTGGGGGTATGTCGTGGGCACGGAGGAAATATCTTGTACGAGCTGGGACTTGGGGCTTCGTCAACATCATGGGCTCCTTCCTCAGGCCCCCCAGAATAAGACCTACCCAAACTACCTAGCTTGAGATTCCTTCATGAACGACTCCCATCTTCCAGGATTTGCACCAGATTTCCTTCATCAAATGTTCTTGATAGATACCCACCCAGCACCCTAAGTTTGGAATTGAGGTTTGGTTTGGGGTTTAGTTACGCGTCTTGAATAGAAGGCCGATGGCGGGACTCTCCCTGGCTTGTAAAGAGGCCATACCTCGGATTGCGCAAAGCCTTCTCCCTCTTATAAAGAAGGGCCTTCTATGAGGTAGGCCACCCTGACCCCCACACCTAGTAGGCTAAGGGACATAATGTGAGCTATAGTCTAAGCTCCGAGTATCCCCTTTAACAGCCCCTATAGTAGTCCCCTATATAAGCCATTATATACCCCCCTTCGAGGAATTTAGACTGTAGCTCATATAAATAATGCCGGGTTAATGCTGCGAACATGTTTTGTTCTGGGCTGCATCCGCACAAGAAGGTGCAATGTAGGTTTAGATTCCCAAGCTTTATGCTATGATAATGACTGTGACTGACTACGGCCTTCAGGGATAGACCTGCTATGCCTTTCACCGTTACGCGGCTGAAGTGGTGGTTTCCTTAAATAGAGGGACACATCCCAATATACTGTAGTCCTTATTACAGGGACCCCCCAAAAAGATAGCCCTAACTTTGGGAAACCCTAAACCCTAAAACCCATATAACCCCAGTTTCCATTTCATTTCCCATTTTCTTTTTCATTTGATTCTCCATTATTGGGCCCTATTCCTAATTTTGGGAAATCCCCAATCAAGTGAAGCCCCATGGTCCTCGAATCCATTCAGGCAGCAGTCCTGCACCGAGGTTCCACCCAGACCTGGGATTTCCAGGAAAGTCCCAATTTTCGGGTTCCCTGAATACAGATTATTTCGTCTTTGGAGGTGTATATTTGGGTCCGCAATTTTTTTGGATGGAAACTACCATATAGAGGCTACTAATACTATAGGGATGAATTCCTCATCCCTTCACGGGTAGTGGGGCAGGGATCTGTCAAGGCATCATCATGGACTTGGTGTATTCTTGGGCCTCCCTTGCACTGTGTGTGTCTTCTCTGTTGAGCCAGGCTGGATTGGAATGAAAGTCTCGCGTTGCGACCCTACTCAGAGCATTCAAATTGTCTGCGGCTTAAACGGATTGAGGTGGTTCTTCAATCTCAAGCCACTATGGGCTATTCGTTTTCGAGTCCGGGGCACTGTGGGCGTGCACTTTTTCCAATGTTACTAGACATGAGTGCATATAATGTAGCAATGTTTCTTGGTACCTATGTCTTGAGCACATTGGATAGATTGTCAGGTCAAATGGGTGAAATAATACTGTTCTG